TTACTTTTACTTTTACTTTTACCCGATGTATTCCAACATCCAGCTGCCATGCACGTGGGCATTGTCAGTTTCACTATAGCTCTGGTGAATTTCAATGGTGAAGTCCTCTGGAAAAGCGGGGAGAATGGCGCTAGGCTTACCGCACCGTGACGTCACTGCTGGAAGATGGCAGGAGGGAGGGGTTACTATATTTGGGGAAAAATGGCCGCTCCTAGAGTCAGTGATTGCGACGAAAACTATTGTTTTTATTTTTTTACTGATTAAAGCTAAATTTTTTAAATCACCGCAAATGTATTAGTTTCAGGTGTAAATAATGATCCATTGATCATTCCTTGCTGACCGGACTTCTCCATTAAATAGCAGGATTCTAATTTAAGATAAAAAAAAACAGTATTATTAATCATTATTAAAAAGATGACCAAGTTGTTTCCAGGTATGAGGGAGTAATCCAATAATTTTCCCATGGATAATAACAAAAACATACGCTTACAAACACATCAGTTGGTTATGATATCAGACAAATAAACTAATGTCATAATTTACAGATATTTATATGGATATTTATTTATATGGATTGTTGTCATATAACCCTAATTGATATTGCAGTGAATATTTGGGTATTTTCTAGTTTATAATTTGCATAATTGACGAGATGTTAAATGTAAACATACTTGAGACGATGGCAGAACATGTCCATTATCTCCAGCAGTGATTTGACACACAGCTCCCGAGAAAAACCGTCAAACTGGAAAACATGAAAAAATCATGAAGCAGATATTAGGCTGTAATAACAAACTATAAGCCATTAGTTTACCTTGCTGATGGCTGTGAGCACACTGGAATAAGACACCATCTGAAACAAATCAAACACTTACTTAATTAGCAGAACACAGCTTAACATCATGCTCAGTTATAGAACTTTTTCTTCTACCTGTGAACTTATAGCATATTTAAGGTAGGACAAAATGAGTGGGTTGGGAGACGGTCCAATCATCGCTTGTTCCATCAGAGCCTCTGAAACACAGACAGAGCATTTAAACCCGAGGAGACAGCGTCAGTAAATTGACCAATTTAATGTCAAGTGAGCATAAAAACCTGCAAAGTTGAGGTAGTCCCACGTTGCCCCTTTAGGGAAGTTTTTCTTAATGTTAATTGCCCATTGATAGTCACTCCATCGCTCCTTCCAAGCCTGTAAAATGGCTTGCTTTAAATTCACCACCTTCATCCTAGTCGGACTCAACACCTTAAATAATAATAAAAAAAAACATACACAGAAAAGACGCATCTTGCATTAATTATATATCATAAAAACATCAAAAGCTTGCGCAATCCATTCACCAATTTGCCCACTGTTAGCCTGTTAGCCGTTAGCTGTTCAGCACTCATTAAGTTTATTCTTATACAAACTACCTCAAAGTGCAGAGATGACGCTGCTTCACAGAAAAACGGAAATGGATTTGCTAACACAAAGCTTACCTTCTCCAATGATTTATTAAGGCTTTAATTGGTTTTGTTTATACATCGATTGTGTCTACTGACTCCAGGAAGTGACGTCACCTACGTCAGAAGACGCTTCTTCTTCTTCTTTTTAAGTTTAAATGACGGCTGGCAAACAAACTGGAGGTGTATTTACCGCCACCTACCGAGCTGGAGTTAGAACGTCGATGAAAATAAGGACAAACTGTATAGAATAGAATAGAATAGAATAGAATAGAATAGAATAGAATAGAATAGAATAGAATAGAATAGAATAAAAAAGAAAAGAAAATCCCTTTGTTTTCCCACAATGGGGAAATTCTGGGTTTACAGCAGCAAAGAGATTATAGAAAAAATGGTCCCACAAATATCGACATATATAGTGCATAAGAATAACATAATACTGAAGAGTATGTACGTATGTTTATACCTGAATATACAGTGCCCTCTGCAATTATTGTCACCCCTGTTTAAGATGTGGCCGAGGACTTAAAGAAATTCTCCTTTTATTTTAAACAACAAAGAACCCAAATGCAAAAAAAAGAGAAAAATCCAACCTTTTATTTAAGTTCATTACTTTGGTGGTAAAAATAAAATCACACATTTAGAAAGTAAAAAACATGAAATCATATGTTCCACAATTATTGGCTCCCCTGATGTTAATACTTTGTACAGTCCCCTTTTGCCAACAAGACAGCACTTAATCTCCTATAACATTTCACAAGATTGGAGAACACAGAGAGAGGGATCTTTGACCATTCTTCTTTGCACAATCTTTCTAGATCAGAGGTCTTCAACAGGGGGTCCGTGACCCCTAGGGGGTCCGCAGAGGTACTGCATGGGGGTCGCGAAGTTTTGGGTAATTAGACTTATGTTTCCCCCTGCAATATTTTCCACTAATTGAAATGTCTTTAAATCCTCATTAACATGAATTCAACAGACTGTAGTAAACAGATAAATGAAGGCAGAAGATGTCTTTCAGTCATCAATGCAGATCTGTGTTTCTGAGTAAAAATAAGTCAAATATCTGACAAAAGAGTGGAAATTAGAAGATTATATAAATAATGTTTTGTTATTGTTGTTCCAATAAGTTTAATAGTAAGAACAGAAACATAGACTCTAGATTTTTTTAGTTCTTCAAAAAGTCAGAGAAAGAATATCAAGATTTGACGCATAAAATATCTAAAAACATGACTTATATTTTTAGATAGTCTTCAACATAAATGACAAATGAACCAGAGAAAAGAGGTCAAACAGGTATAGGATGGCTGTAACCTAAACCTTTTTTTTATATATTCCCCCCTGCAATTTTTTCCACTAATTGAAATATCTTCAAATACACATTAAGATGAATTCAACACACAGTAGTAAACAAATAAATGGAGGCAGAAGATGTCTTTCAGTCATCAATGCTCACATTCAGCGACACACAGGAGCTCTTTCAAGCTGGACACCGTTTCATTCACAACACCTGTCCCATCAACAAGGAATCAGAAATACTTTAATAATCCCAGGGCAAAATTAGTTCCATTACATTACTCCATATGTAATAGAGTGACTATAGAACCAGTTCAATATAACACAATTTCATACAATATATATAATTAGGGGGTCCCTGCTCCATCTCGCCATCAGTTTGGGGGTCCTTAGCCTGGAAAACGTTGAAGACCCCTGTTCTAGATCATCCAGTGTCCTGGGTCCTCTCTTGTGCACTCTCCTTCTTAGCTCGCCCCACAGGTTTTCTATCGGGTTGATGTCTGGGGACTGAGATGGCCATGGGAGGACCTTGATTTCGTGACTGTTGAACCATTTTTGTGTAGATTTTGCCACGTTTCGGATCATTATCCTGCTGAAAGACCCACTGACGACCGATCTTCAGCTTTTTGGCAGAGGCCATCAGGTTTTCATTTAAAATGTCCTGATATTTCCAAGCGTTCATGATGCCATGCACCCTAACAAGCTTCCCAGGGCCTTTGGAATAGGAACAGGCCCACATCATTACAGATCCTCCACCATACTTCACCGTGGGCATGAGGTGCTTTTCGGCATACTCATCTTTTGATTTACGCCAGACCCACTTAGAGTGTTTGTTGCCAAAAAGTTCAAAGCAAAGCACACGATCCCAGTTGAAGTCCCAGTGCTGCTTAGCAAATTCTAGACGTTTACGTTTGTAAGTGTTGGTGAGAAAAGGCTTTCTCCTTGCATGTCTTCCAAACAGCTCGTTGGCATTCAGAGAGCATCTGATGGTTGTTTTGGAGACTTTGTGACCCCAAGATTCCACTCTTTGTTGCAATTCTGTGACAGTAAGCGTAGGACTTTTTTTTACTTCTCTAACCATCCCCCTCACTGTGCGTTGAAGCAAGATAAACGTGGGACCTCTTCCAGCCTTGTTTCTCACTGTTCCAGTTGTTTTAAACTTCTTAATGATTCCTCTGACTGTAGATACAGGCAAGTTAAGGCGAGTGGCTATTATCTTGCTACCATTGCCTGACTTATGAAGGCCGACGCACATCTGCCTTACTTGAATTGTGTGTTCTCTTGTCTTTGCCATGCTGTTTAATTGGTAAGAGAATTAGGCCTCTGCGTCACGTCATATTTATACCCCAGGGGAACAGGAAGTCATGAATTACTAATTAAAAGTTCCTAGATACCCTGATCAACTTTAGCAACTACAGAAAAACACGTTTAAAGAAAATCAATTAAATTTTTTAGCTGAATTGTTAGGAATGCCAATAATTGATTTCTAAATGTGTGATTTTATTTTTACCATCAAAGTAATGTACTTACACAAGAGGTTGGATTTTTCTGTTTTTTTGCATTTAGGTTCTTTGTTGTTTAAAAGAAAAGAAGAATTTTTTAAAGTCCTCTACCACATCTTAAACAGGGGGGCCAATAATTGCGGAGGGCACTGTATACATTAAATTCTTACTGATGGTGGTCACAAGGCGTGGTGGCACCAGTGTACAGCAGCCTTGCTTCTGTCAGTGAGCCCCAGGGCAGTTTGCCACCATCGGTGTGTGAATGGGTGAATTAATGAATGTAGTGTAAAGCACTTTGGTTAAGTCTCTTGAGTTGGAAAAGTGTTATATAAGTATAGGCCATTTACCATTTACATGTCATATTCATGAGTCTTTTTACTGCCAGAGTCTGAAATAGTTTCGAACGACCATTATGAGTCATTTGGCAAGAGAGTAAAAGAGTAATTTCCTTATTTCTTTAGACAAGACTCAAGCCTGTGGAAAATTCTTGTGCAGCCTGCTCTCAAAACAATAGGTGTTCTTTTGGATTTATCAAAATCTCCCCTGGAAGTTATGGCGGAAGGGCACAGAAGAACTAACCCCCCCACCCTAACCGCAAACACCTGTGGATGCGCCCAGAACTGTAGTGCCGCTTGATAAACTTCCATCTTATCAAGGACAACAGCCTGTGGACAGCATTGATGGACAAACTAAACAAACAGCCCATACAACTAATGTCAGATTGACTTTCATGTGGCTCCAGCCTCCAATGTTTTCCTTCTGCTGAAATGTTTGTCTTGTGTTACATGTGCTTATTGTGTGTTTTTTTTAATTTTTTTTTATCTCAAACTGCATCCTGTCAAGGATAAAGTGTGAACTATGTCTTTTTTCCCTCTCCCTCTCCAATGTGGCTCCTATCTTTCCACAGAATAATGGTAGCGCTATGGGGAACCGCCTCAGGATGGGGCCCTTGGCAGTCATAAGAACCAGCCAAACCTGCGTAGATAGTTCGCACTTCCAACCCCACCACAATTTGTATGATGTATGTGATAAACAGTTTGCACTGAAACTGAAATCTCGTTTACAATGCAATTTGTTGTTGAAAATAAATAAATTAATTGATTGATATTTTCTTCTTTTCAACAAAATGTATTAAAGTTAATGAGAAAAACAGGCAAATATCTAAAACTTAACTGACCAAAAGACCAAAAAAACAACAAAAACAACAAACAAACAGTGAAAACAGAAAACAATATAAAGTTTCATAATATTTCAGATTGGTCCATTAATGGTTTTCAGAAATTCTTGGAAATTTCCAATAAAGATGAATTCTTTTCTCAGGATGAAGCTCACAGAATATTTATTTTTTTCAATTTTGGGCAATACATAGAGCATGCATTACGAGTCCAGAACTCATGTACAGCCTAACTTATGCATAACACACGGCAGCGTAATGACCATGAAATTATGCACAAGCATTTCGTACTGTCCCTGAAAAAATAATCAAATAGATAAATAAAAAAAAAGACCAGGAAAATATTTATTAAAATACAGGAATATGGAGGGTAAAAGGAAAAGAACTGAAAAAATACACTTGTCTCTCAAAAATGAAAATACAAAATCTGTAACAATAATAAATAAAGAAAATAGAAAACTACCGTCAATAAAAATAATGGAAAAAAGATTCCCTCTCTATATGATCACAGTTGTTCTGACTTGCTGTTCTTTTAATGAAAACAATTTTAGAAAACAGTCTGCTTTATTTGTGCCTAATCTCAAACACATATCAGCAGATTTATCCTTTGTACATTTATGTAAGCTAAAAAGACCCAGATTGTTAAAGTACGATTCATCCATCATGTGGTGATATTATTGCAGGTTTACTTTGCCCTTTCTTTCTGCTAGTGGGATTATAATGATTCCTGGGTGCTGAAAGAGGAGCTCGGTTTGTCCATTAGAAAGTATTCACACAATCCTGATAATGGTAGCAGTGGCCTACAGGTGGGTCAATGATTCCCATTTCCATCATGACTCATGTGCAAGCAGACTGAGTATTTAGAGTACAGAATGCAAATGTAACTCAGGGTTCCGTTTGAAGGACATGCAAAGCTAACAGGATTGATGTTTAGTATTCTAACGATAAAATAAAGGAACGTATATAAATAGTCTTGCACAAGGAGGTGACACAGGAAGCACATGGACCATGGAGCATTAAGAAGGAAAATGAAAGGAAGAGGAGGTGATGGAAGAAACAAGAGCGGGACAGCGAGAACCAGTGAGAATATATGATGAGGAAGAGGGGGAAATGAAAAGAAGATGATATAGGATGTAAGAAAGGATCGGCTGAGACAGAAAGAAGACAGAGGAGATGAGCACTT